GAATGTACAGCATTCTCTCCCACCTTCAATACCACGACTTGAGCAAGGCACCGAACCCCAACTGCTCCCCGGGCGCCGCAGCATAAATGGCTGCCCACTGCTCTGTGTGTGTGTTCACGGTTTGTGTGTGTTCACTGCTGTGTGTGTGCACTTTGGATGGGTTAAATGCAGAGCACTAATTCCGAGTATGGGTCACCATACTTGGCCACACGTCATTTCACACGTCACTTCACTCTGCTCACCAAGGCTGCATTCTTTTAATCAAAAGTACAGTAAAATCCGTAATATTTTTAAATGTTAATACAATTTAAAATAGCTTTTTAAATATATTTAATATATAGTACAAGTACACACACATATATTATGAAAACAAACTCGATCACAAATAATCTATTTGACAGGCCTAGAAAAATCTAATAATATTAGTGTATATATCTGTCATTGTTTTAATTTTCCTGAAAATTACATGAAGTTTATGTCTATAATTACCTGACCTTGCTACAAAGGCTACGATAGCAGTTTATAAATATTTAAAGAACTAAAATAATGTGCATTTAATGTAATGTACAAGCAAGAGCTCATCTGGCATTGTTGAGATCTCTTCTAAAACTTTAGAAAAGATACATATCTGAGATTACATGTTTGCATTATGTTTAGTCTAAGAAGCAGTTGCTTTAGGCAAATATCTCCATTTGAGCTTATTTTAATCTCATTGCTGTCTTATAAAAATGAAATATGTTTAATATCTCAAGTAGTTTTTTTAATACGCCGCTTTTTTTCCATGGAAGCACTTGAAACTGCAGTGTAATGTACTGTATGTGTCTGTATATATGCATGTCATAGTGTGTTAGCAAGCAGTATATTCATTCCACACGAGAATAAGAGAACTGCTGTAATCTAACAGAGCATGAACTAGTTTGCTCCATATCTGCCAGCTGTGACCTCAGCCAGTGATGTTCTACTGTATACGTTCCACTGTACTGTACTGTAGTTTGTGACATGTATGTTAGAGTGGATGGGGTTTAAAACAAACTTGTTTTGAGTTTTCAGTTGTTATCAAATGGTCTTGTAGTGGTTAAACGTGAAAGGTTGCTGGTTTGGGCCAGAATTGAGCCCTTGAGTGAGACACTTAACCTCAGGTTACTCCAGGAGGACTGACCCCGTTATACGCCACTTTAATGAAATCATCTGCTAAATGATTACTTATATATTTAGTGTGACGAGGCTTTTGAAATGCATGCCAGGTATTAAAGAGAGTATACGTGTTAATATTTTATATTAAAGGTTATAAAGTGGAAGAAATAGTTGTATGGTTAGATTCTGTTTAATTCTTTTGAAGTACTTTTGAAATACCATGCATGTGAGTTTGGAGAGAGAGCATAGAGCTGTGAATAGAGTCCCATCCACTGAACTGTCCCGGGACTCTTTTATTGGTCCTGCCCTGAGGCTGACCATTACACGACCTAATTAAACCAGAGTGAGGTCCAGTACAGCCACAGAGTACTTACACATCAGCTGCTCATAACACACACACACACACACACTCACACACACAGGGCTTTATTTCATCAGAAGTACTTAACCGTTAATAATCACTCATACACTGATATACTGTATTCATAACAGCTAGTCTATGAAGCATCCATCCATCGTTATACAGCTTCATCAATTCAGGAGACATGCAGGACACATCTTGCAGTGTTTAATGGAAAATACTTTATACATTAATTATCAAATTACAGCTGAATATGAGCAGCGCTAAACATTCGGTGCTCATAATAGCTGCTGTTTGACAGTCGCTTAAGGTCTAATGGAACTAACTGTCATCTTACATTGACGGCTATTACTTATAAATTAAATATAAAAATAAAGTTATGCAACTTATACACAGGATGCTTTGCTAGATCTATCTATCTATCTATCTATCTATCATCTAATATTTTATCTGTTATTCCGTCTCTCCATTCATCCATCCATCCATCTATCTATCTATCCATCCATCAATCAATTCATCCATCATTCTATCAATTTAACTGTCATTCCATCCATCCATTTAACCATCCATCCATCCATTTTTCCTTCAATCCCTCCATAGTTCTAACATTTTATCTGTCGTTCCATCTGTCTGTCCATCCATTCATTCATTGTTCTATGCATCCACTCATCCATCATTCTATCTTTTCATTTGTCATTCCATCTATCCATCCATCCATTGTTCCATCCATCCATGGTTCCATAAATCCATCCATCGTACTAAAATTTTATCTGTCGTTCTGTCTGTCCATTCATCCGTCTACCCATCCATCATTCTATCGTTTTATCTGTCATTCTGTCCATCCATCCATCCATCCATCCATCCATCCATTGTTTCATCAATCCATCTATCGTTCTAATGTTTCTAATGTAATAAAGTTCTAATGTAATCTGTTTTTCCGTCTGTCTGTTCATACATCCATCCATCCATTCATTTATCCATCATTCTATCATTTCATCTGTCATTCCGTCCTTTTATCCATCCATCAGTCTATCCATCCAGTCATTCATCCATGCACACATCCATTGTTCCATCCATCCATGGTTCCATAAATCATCCATCGTTCCAACACTTTCTGTCATTCTGTCTGTCCATTCATCCATCCATCATTCTGTCGTTTTATCTGTCAATCCGTCCATCCACATTCTAACATTTTATTTATCATTCTGTCTGTCCATTCATCCGTCCATTATTCTATCATTTTATCTGCCATTCCCCTTTCTAGTTCTGTCTGTCTGCTGTTCCACATATATCCATGTTATGTGCATTACTGAGTAATTTTCATAATTGCTATTTTTGAGATCACCCAGGTCTACTGAATGATGGTTGTGTAACTAACAGTCCAGTGTCCTCAGACTGCTCATACTGTAT